AGGCAGCGGCAGAGACGACGGAGACGGCGGAGCGAAGAACAGTCGTGTCGGCGCAGCTGCACCAGCACCAGCAGCTCCAGTACCTCCAGCACCTCCAGCAGCTCCAGCGCCTCCAGCCGCTCCAGCACCTCCAGCAGCTCCAGAAGCTCCAGCCGCAGAACCGGTACCTCCAGCGCCAGCACCTCCAGACTCAGCGTAACCAGGAACGGCACCCCCAGAACCGGCACCTCCAGCCCCAGGGTCTCCAACCGCAGGGTCTCCCGCAGCAGCACCCCCAGAACCAGCACCTCCAGTCCCAGGGTCTCCGGCCTCAGCGTCTCCAGGAGCGGCACCCCCAGACGCAGCACCCCCAGCCCCAGCAGCTCCAGTACCTCCAGTACGAGCACCTCCGGGACCAGCGACTCCAGCACCTCCAGTAGACGAGCCCCGGGCTCCAGCCGCGCGACCCTGACGACGACCGTACCAGTCGTGCAGCTGCTGCGGGGTGAGAGGCACACGCGGACGAAGGCGGCCACTCCAAGTAGGCCGCGCACCAGCAGTCCCAGTACCCTCAAGCGTCTCACCTCCAGACTCAGCACCCCCAGACTCCGTACACATAGGCGCAGCACCCCCAGACACAGCACTCCCAGGCGCAGGACCTCCAGTCTCCTCACGCGCAGGCTCAGCACCCCCAGACTCCGCACCCCCAGACTCAGCACCCCCAGGCTCAGTACCCCCAGACTCCGCACCAGAGTCAACAGTAACCGGCTGCAGAGGCGGTGAAGAAGGTCGCGGAGGGAACCCCGGAGGGGTCTCCAAGCGCGGCGTGCGGCGGTAGGCCGCCGGGGCGTCAGCAGCAACGTCACCCCCCTCAGGTGGGCCAGAGGTGTCAGAAGTGACCTCGAGAGGCTCAGCCAAGGGGGGGGGGGGTCAACCTGAGACACAGCTGAAGGAGCAGGACCCTGAGGGGGGAGGGGGTCTACCGGGGGGTCTATCGGGGGGTCAACCTGAGACACACCTGAAGGAGCAGGACCCTGAGGGGGGAGGGGGTCTATCGGGGGGAGACCTGGCGTAAGGAAGAGCGGCGGGGGGGGGAGCGGGGCAGTGCGGTAGGGGAAGAGACGGTAGTACGGAACACGGCACGAGGACAGAACACGGCGCGAGGTGGGATGGTAAAACTGCCAACCAGGCGCGTCTGGGGGGAAGCCAAGGAAGACGCAGGGAACAGCACGGGAGGACAGCTTGTCCGCAGACAAAATTCTCGGACAAAAGCCCGAGATCCCCAGACACGGAACGCAGACGCATCGCCAACCTTCCCCGTCCACCGCAGAGTGGGGGAGGTATTCGGCATGGAGACCCGGGGCTGAAGGTTGATCTGATGCGCCGCGTACTGAACCGCAAACGGCCACAGAAAATGGGGAGCAGCCGCATGGATCATGGACGTACGAGCGACATCCATGACCATGCCAATGCGGCGCTCAGCAATCCCATTTTGCTGTGGAGAGGCCGGAAGCGTGAACGTCTGGCGGATGTCCCTCGCACGACAGAAGGCTCGCAGAGGGCCGGAGGAAAACTCCCCACCTCTGTCGGAGTGCAGACGCAGAACAGGAAAGTCCGAGCCGAAACTCTTCCTGAGCTGGAGACGAGCAGCGCGGATCCAGTCGATCAACACCTCAGTGACCTCATCCTTGCGGCGCAAGGGGAAGACTGTGGTGTAACGCGAGTAGTCGTCAACCACCAGCAGGAAGTAGCGCTCGTGACCCTGTCCACGGACGCGGGCTGGGCCCCACACGTCCATGTGAAGAGTCTGCAGCGGAGCCTCTGTCGGCGGAAACTCGGAGGAGTGAGGAGCGGCGCGCTGCCGCCCCTCGACGCAGGGAACGCAGGTAGGGGCAGGCCCCGGAGGGAGGGGAGGGAGAGACCGGGGAAGACCAGAGACAAGGACACAGGAGGCCATGCCTCGGAGACGAGGCAGGGAGGGGTGACCAAGACGGTGGTGCCAGAGAAGAGTCTCGTGGGACAGGAGGCGACACGAGCAGGGGGCAGACTCAGGACCAGACCGAGACGCTGCAGCAAACACCTGACCCGAGGCATTTACCTGACCAGGCACAGCAACCGGAGGAGACTCGGTAGTCAGGGTGTACAAGCTCGACCCCGGCCGACGGGTAAACGTGGCCAAGTGTCGGCCCGTGTCTGCACACGTGCAGTGGGTCACCCGCTGACGCGCAGGGGTGAACTGGTCAACCCCCCCATCCTGTAGGTCAGCACCCGCCACCAAGTTCGTAGAGAACGAGGGGAGGTAAAGACCCGACAGGGAGCCAGACGGGACTGCGGGACACGGTAGTACAGTGGAGTAGTGGGCAAGAACAGGACCCCCAGAGGGGTCTGCCAGGGAGACCGCAACCGGCCGACTACGTGGCGTAAGAGTGGTGTGGTCTCGAAAGAAGGAGCGGGAAGCACCCGAGTCAAGGGTGAAAGTGTGCGACGCCTGAGCAGACGTGGTACCTGAGAGAGCAGACTCACCAGCACCTAGGGCAGCAGACTCACTAGCACCTGGAGCAGCAGACTCACTGGCACCTAGAGCAGCAGCTGCACCGCCCGGGTCGGGCGGAACACTCAGGTAACAGTCACCGTCATCACTAGTAGGTAATGCATACATGGCAGTGAGGATAGCATCATAGTCAAGAGCATAGACATCTACCCTCTGCCTAAGCAGCTCCACCCAGTCGGGGAGCTCAGCCGCGTCGCCAAACTCTGTACGCCAGGCGTCGCTCAGACGGGCGAAGCAGCGGGACTCTGTGTGACCAAACGTCCCGCAAGGCTGGCCAGTCCTAGCACCAGTGCGAATGACGTACGGGCAGCGAGCAGAACCCCGTGACCCTCCACGCTGAGCGTACCACTCATGAAGCTGCGGGGGCGAAGGGACCGCGCGCACACGACGCTGCAGCTGCACCTGGCCACTACAAGAAGCTCCGGAACTACTCACTCCAGGACGACTCCCACTACGGCCACCCCGACAACCCCAACGAGCGTACCACTCATGAAGCTGTGGGGGCGTGAGGGACTCACGCGGACGGCGCTGGAGCTGCATCTGGCCACGCCAGGAGCAGCAGTAGCAGTAGAAAGCGCAGTAGCCGTAGGAGCAGCACGAGCAGCAGTAGCAGGAGAAAGAGCAGTAGCAGCAGGAGCAGCAGTAACAGCAGTACGGGCAGGACAGTGCTCACCAGTGGCAAGAAGGGCAGGCGTACGACGGCGGCAACGGCGAGGCCGGCACCACTGCAGGGCGAGGGCTCCGCGGCAGCTGCAGGGGGCGGCTGCTCCAGGGGCGGCTGCTCCAGGGGCCAGGGGCGGCTGCTGCAGGGGCGGCTGCTTTAGGGGCCAGGGGCAGCTGCTGCAGGTGCGGCTGCTGCAGGGGCCAGGGGCGGCTGCTGCAGGGGCGGCTGCTCCAGGGGCCAGGGGCGGCTGCTGCAGGGGCGGCTGCTCCAGGGGCCAGGGGCGGCTGCTGCAGGGGCGGCTGCTCCAGGGGCCAGGGGCGGCTGCTGCAGGGGCGGCTGCTCCAGGGGCGGCTGCTGCAGGGGCCAGGGGCGGCTGCTGCAGGGGCGGCTGCTTTAGGGGCCAGGGGCAGCTGCTGCAGGTGCGGCTGCTGCAGGGGCCAGGGGCGGCTGCTGCAGGGGCGGCTGCTCCAGGGGCCAGGGGCGGCTGCTGCAGGGGCGGCTGCTCCAGGGGCCAGGGGCGGCTGCTGCAGGGGCGGCTGCTCCAGGGGCCAGGGGCGGCTGCTGCAGGGGCGGCTGCTCCAGGGGCGGCTGCTGCAGGGGCCAGGGGCGGCTGCTGCAGGGGCGGCTGCCCCAGGGGCCAGGGGCAGGGGCGGCTGCTGCAGGGGCGGCTGCTCCAGGGGCAAGGGGCAGCAGTTGCAGGGGCGGCTGCTCCAGGGACCAGGGGCGGCTGCTGCAGGGGCCAGGGGCGGCTGCTGCAGGGGCCAGGGGCGGCTGCTGCAGGGGCGGCTGCTGCAGGGGCCAGGGGCGGCTGCTGCAGGGGCGGCTGCCCCAGGGGCCAGGGGCGGCTGCTGCAGGGGCGGCTGCTCCAATGGCCAGGGTCGGCAGCTGCAGGGGCGGCTGCTCCAGGGGCCAAGGGCGGCTGCTGCAGGGGCGGCTGCTCCAGGGACCAGGGGCGGCTGCTGCAGGGGCGGCTGCTCCAGGGGCCAGGGGCGGCTGCTGCAGGGGCGGCTGTTCCAGGGGCCAGGGGGGGGGGCGCGAAGGGCCGTGAGGAGGCCGCGAAGGGGGGGGCCGCAAAGGGGCCGCGAAGGACCGGGAAAGGGCGGCGAGGGGCCGTGGGAGGGCCGCGTGAGGCTGCGAAGGGGCCGTGGAGGGGGCCGTGCAGGGCCGCGAAGAAGGCCGCGAGGGGCCGCGAAGGGCCGCGACGGGCTGGGAAGGGGCCGCAAAGGGCCGCGAAGGGGCCGGAACGGGCCACGAAGGGGCCGCGACGGGCCGCGAAGGGGCCAAGACGGGCCGTGAAGGGGCCGCGACGAGCCTCGAAGGGGGCCGCGACGAGGTCGCGACAGGGGGCCGCGAAGGGGCCGTGAGAGGGAGGGCCGCGAGGGGCCGTTTAAGGGGCCGCGAAGGGGCGGGGTAAGGCCACTAAGGGGCCGAAAATTTACGGGCAGGGTGCAAAGGCGCTCCGGGCAGCTAAAAAAAGTTCTTGTGGTGGGCCCTTAAAAAAAAAAACGGTCCTTAGGAAGGACCTGCTCTATACCATGTGAAAGGAGATTACGGGAATGATTGAACTAACAACAATGAGAATACAAATGTGAAACCCTAAAGTTGTGTACCCCCTAAGGCTAAGCCCACTGTAGCCTACACAACAGCTACACACATATATATAATGTTTGACAAACCGCCGTCCTCAGGTCAGCAGGACGACACTACATCGCACCGCACAGCACAGCACAGCACAGCACAGCACAGCACAGCACAGCACAGCACAGCACAGCACAGCACAGCACAGCACAGCACAGCACAGGGGGTTCACTCCCTGAGCTCCACGAGGGCGAGGGCTGCCAGTGGTGGCACAGTCAGCATGGCCGTGTCTGCTTCGAACCAGGGGCCTGCTGCTGGCACTGCTGGGACCATGCCATGCTGCTCCTGAGTGCGGTGCAGAGGGGTGCAGAAAAGGTGCAGGGAAGGAGCAGATTGAGCTTGGAATGGGAAGGCAATCTTTAGGAACAAACTGGATTAAAGGCAAAGGAGGAATGGGAGGATGAGAGGCGAGGGGCAGAGGGGAGGCACTGACCTGCAGTGGGTGCGGAACAAGGTTGCGTGAGAGCAGGGACGGCAGGTGCAGGTGGGCAAGCTGGGGCTGCATGCTCACCACCAGCACCAGCATGCGGAACCTGCCCATGGAGTGAGTGAGGACGCGTTTCACGGGTCAAATATGCTGAAGGTGCATTCTAGTCCTTATTCGAATCGATTTGCCATGGGGAAATAGCTGTAGGGTGCGAAGGGCAACCAACGACATTTTTTGGAGGTGGTGGTGGTGGTGGGAAATGGATTTTAGCCCTCCTCATGCTGCAATCCCCCACCTGCCCATGTCATGCCATGCCATGCCATGCCATGCCATGCCATGCCATGCCATGCCATGCCATGCCATGCCATGCCATGCCATGCCATGCCATGCCATGCCATGCCATCCCATGCCATGCCATGCCATGTGATGCATCCATTGAATAGCGCGGATGACAATCATGAAGCAAAGCAACCTACCTCGAGTCCAGCTGGGCCATGGCCGACCCTGCATCGCCATCAGTCACACTCATTACTATCACCCCTGGCAGCGCTGTGCGGCCCACGTTGAGGAATCGCACTCTCTCCTGTGGGCGGGTGGGGAAAGGGTGAGGTGAGGGCACGGGAAGGCAGGACAGGGGAAGGCAGGGGAGGAGTGGAAGGGTGGTGGCACGGGGTGAGCAAAGGTAAGAGGCAACACAGGCAGAACGCAAGGCAGCAGATGTGGAGGAGAAAGGGTTGGCCTAAAAGCATGTCATGTAGCTGTCAGTCCGCATGGCTGACCAGAGCAGAGGCTGCATGCTCTGACCTGAAATGGCCTTGTCATTCAACCTGCGAGCGGTTCGCCTCGCCTCACCCCACCTGTGAGAATACTAGAAAACTAGAACACCCCCATGACTGCCAGTGCTGCCCAAGCTTTAAGTTTTAGAAGGCCTAGAAAACACTGGCTTCTTGTCACCCGACCTGGCTTTCTCTCCCTGCCCACCTGAATGAGCTCCAGTGAGGGAAGGCGGAACAGCGGCGAGGAATAGCGCACAGCCAGCAGCATGCGCAGGTAGCGTGACATGGCAGCTATGTCTGCTGACGTGGGGCGCAATGATTGGTTGGCCAGGAGTGGACGCATCCTGAGAGGAGCCGTGTGGGGATGGGGGTGCAGGGAGAGGAATGTGAGTGCAGGGAAGAGAGGAGCACACAGGAAACCTTGAATGCTCACAAACCTAAAAAGCCCAAGACCCAACCCTTAGCTACTGATTCATAAATTTCAAGCCCATGGCTGAAGGCAAATGCTGAAGGCAGATGTCAAAGGGTCCATCGCCCAAGGAAAATTCCAAGCCCCAAGCCTTGCTGACAGGATGTATAGCAAGCAGGGTGAGAAGGTTGTTTCCAATGTGGAGTAGAGGGGACAGAAGGAAGGTGGAATGGAACAGCGCAGTGCAGTGCGGTGCAATGCGGCAGCACATGCTGCTTCAAAAAGGCAGAAAGGGGGCTGGCTTCGGAGCAAACGACACTCGCACTGCCACAAGAGATGCCCGCCTGCCTTCTTGTCCCTGCTATCCAAGACCCCTCCCTCTCCCCCATCCTCCACCCTCTCCCTCCTTCCCTCCCCCCTCCCGTCTCTCCCACTTCCCCCCCGCCCGCCCCCCCCCTCACATGTCCCATTTGTCGCCGTTCTTCTCATGCGGGGGCAGCCCCACGCCAAAGTTGGTGGTGCCGGCCGACCAGTCCAGCCTGCCACGCACACACACACAGGCGCAGCAGCACAGGCCCAGCGACGGGAAGAGGGAGGGTTAGGCAGGGAACGGGGCAGTGGGAGGGGCAGAAGGAGGGACGGGTAGGAAAGGGGCAGTGGGAGGGGTAGAAGGACGACGAAAGAGTAGAGTGGATTGGTGAGGAGAGCAAGTCATGGAGCGTAGGGGTAGAGGGGAGTGTTGGTGCCTCTATGCATCTCATTATGCCCCAGTGACCGATTGATCCAGCCTGCTCTCACCACTTGCAGTCTGCTCTCACCACTTGCAGTCTGCTCTGACCACTTGCAGTCTGCTCTGACCACTTGCAGTCTGCTCTGACCACTTGCAGTCTGCTCTGACCACTTGCAGTCTGCTCTGACCACTTGCAGCCTGCTCTGACCACTTGCAGTCTGAACTTCCCATGACTGGTTTAACGGCAGGTGAGAGGCTGGGCGGCTGTGAGAGGCTGGGCGGCTGTGAGAGCAGCAGGTCGTCCCTCGTGTGGCAGCATGGCAGCACGTGTCTCCCGCAGCAGGCCTCAACGGAAGAAGACAGGCGGAGAAGCACTCTGTGAGAAACCACACCAACCGTCGTAGCAGAAAGTGCGGAGAGGCTCAGGGCGTTCGCTCTCTGCACTGCGCGGTTAAACAAGCCTGTTCGGAGCGCAGACGTGCTGTGTTCACAGCAAAAGTGTTCACTCGGACTGACTAGTTGATTGAACCAGCCTGCCCTTCCCACTCGCCGGTTGAACCAGTCGCCTGAGTTGTAGGAGTCGCGGTCGAGTGACTTGGAGCGCAGCAGTGACTGGCTGACTCAGACCAGAGGGCTATCAGCACAGCAACAGTGTTCCCTAGCACTCACCGGTTGAACCAGTCGCCTGAGTTGTAGGAGTCGCGGTCGAGCGACTTGGAGCGCAGCAGGTCGTCGCCCGCATGGATGAAGGGCACGCCCTGCCCCCACGCCACCACCGCCATGCCCACTCGGTTCATCGCCACGCGCTGCTGGGGGGTTGCTGATGCTGCTGCCTAATGGGTGGGGATGGGAGAGAGTGTAGATGGACGGGAGAGGATGGGAAGGTGTGCGGATGAGCTTTGTGGCGTCTCAGGCCGTCCCCAGCCCTACCCTACATCCCTCCCTTTTTCCCCTGCGTGCATGAACGGCACGCCCTGCCCCCATGCCACCACCGCCATGCCCACTCGGTTCATCGCCACACGCTGCTGGGGGGTTGCTGATGCTGCCGCCTGGTGGGTGGGGATGGGGAAGAGCGTGGATGAGCTTTGAGATCTCTCACGTCGTTCCCTTGTACCCCTCTTCCCCCGCATGAATAAGTATTGCCCTCCAAAGCGCCCTCCAGCAGAAGGTTCATGGCCATGCGCTGCTAGGGGGCTGCTGCTGATGCTGCCTGGCAGGTGGGGATGAGCTTGAAAGAGTAAGTGGAGGCCTTGATTCAAGGCCTTGGGTGGAGGCTTCGAGTGGAGAGGGTTTTATGTAGGCTTTGCAAGAGCAGATAAGCCGAGGCACAGCCATGACAAGAAGATGTTGACACGAGTGGCAGGGCATGTGGTACCTTGATGGTGATGATGTCAAAGAGAGTCTCGTTGTCATGCGCTGATATGTACGTCACCTGTACATGCACACGCAGTGGAAAGGGGGAGCGCGGGCATGATGGGCATGCACACATGCGCTGATATATACGTCACCTGTGCATACAGTGGAAAGGGGGAGTGTGCAGCGGCATGATGGGCATGCACACATGCGCTGATATATACGTCACCTGTGCATACAGTGGAAAGGGGGAGTGTGCAGCGGCATGATGGGCATGCACACATGCGCTGATATATACGTCACCTGTGCATACAGTGGAAAGGGGGAGTGTGCAGCGGCATGATGGGCATGCACACATGCGCTGATATATACGTCACCTGTGCATACAGTGGAAAGGGGGAGTGTGCAGCGGCATGATGGGCATGCACACATGCGCTGATATATACGTCACCTGTGCATACAGTGGAAAGGGGGAGTGTGCACCGGCATGATGGGCATGCACACATGCGCTGATATATACGTCACCTGTGCATACAGTGGAAAGGGGGAGTGTGCAGCGGCATGATGGGCATGCACACATGCGCTGATATATACGTCACCTGTGCATACAGTGGAAAGGGGGAGTGTGCACCGGCATGATGGGCATGCACACATGCGCTGATATATACGTCACCTGTGCATACAGTGGAAAGGGGGAGTGTGCACCGGCATGATGGGCATGCACACATGCGCTGATATATACGTCACCTGTGCATACAGTGGAAAGGGGGAGTGTGCAGCGGCATGATGGGCATGCACACATGCGCTGATATATACGTCACCTGTGCATACAGCGGAAAGGGGGAGTGTGCAGCGGCATGATGGGCATGCACACATGCGCTGATATATACGTCACCTGTGCATACAGCGGAAAGGGGGAGTGTGCAGCGGCATGATGGGCATGCACACATGCGCTGATATATACGTCACCTGTGCATACAGTGGAAAGGGGGAGTGTGCACCGGCATGATGGGCATGCACACATGCGCTGATATATACGTCACCTGTGCATACAGTGGAAAGGGGGAGTGTGCAGCGGCATGATGGGCATGCACACATGCGCTGATATATACGTCACCTGTGCATACAGCGGAAAGGGGGAGTGTGCACCGGCATGATGGGCATGCACACATGCGTTGATATATACGTCACCTTTGCATACAGCGGAAAGGGGGAGTGTGCAGCGGCATGATGGGCATGCACACATGCGCTGATATATACGTCACCTGTGCATACAGTGGAAAGGGGGAGTGTGCAGCGGCATGATGGGCATGCACACATGCGCTGATATATACGTCACCTGTGCATACAGTGGAAAGGGGGAGTGTGCACCGGCATGATGGGCATGCACACATGCGCTGATATATACGTCACCTGTGCATACAGTGGAAAGGGGGAGTGTGCACCGGCATGATGGGCATGCACACATGCGCTGATATATACGCCACCTGTGCATACAGTGGAAAGGGGGAGTGTGCACCGGCATGATGGGCATGCACACATGCGTTGATATATACGTCACCTTTGCATACAGTGGAAAGGGGGAGTGTGCACCGGCATGATGGGCATAAAGAGCTCCAATGTGCATTGCATGCGTGGGACAGAGCACAGCAGGGCATGCTTTGGAACTGCAGTGCACATGCACGATGGGCGGGAAGGAAGACGTGGGTCATTAACATAAAGAGCACTAATGGCACGTGGGTCATTCGCTGTCAGCTTTACCGATTCATGTGGGCTCGCGGCATACGCCACTGGCGACCCTCCAAACGTGTACAGCTGCCCTCCCGTCACCTGTGTGGGCAGCAGTCGGGAGAGGCAGAGGGGAAGAGGAAGGGGTTGTGCGAAGGGAGAATGTGGGTGTGAGTCTCACAGGCTGCCAGTCTCACACTCACGAACCACCATGCCCTTCACTGCACCACAAGCCACGCACCAGAAGGGAAGCCCCTGAGGTTACCCGCCATCACATCCACACTGCTCCACACACCTGCACTGCTCCACGCACCTGCACTGCTCCACGCACCTGCACTGCTCCACGCACCTGCACTGCTCCACGCACCTGCACTGCTCCACGCACCTGCACTGCTCCACGCACCTGCACTGCTCCACGCACCTGCACTGCTCCACGCACCTGCACTGCTCCACGCACCTGCACTGCTCCACGCACCTGCACTGCTCCACGCACCTGCACTGCTCCACGCACCTGCACTGCTCCACGCACCTGCACTGCTCCACGCACCTGCACTGCTCCACGCACCTGCACTGCTCCACGCACCTGCACTGCTCCACGCACCTGCACTGCTCCACGCACCTGCACTGCTCCACGCACCTGCACTGCTCCACGCACCTGCACTGCTCCACGCACCTGCACTGCTCCACGCACCTGCACTGCTCCACGCACCTGCACTGCTCCACGCACCTGCACTGCTCCACGCACCTGCACTGCTCCACGCACCTGCACTGCTCCACGCACCTGCACTGCTCCACGCACCTGCACTGCTCCACGCACCTGCACTGCTCCACGCACCTGCACTGCTCCACGCACCTGCACTGCTCCACGCACCTGCACTGCTCCACGCACCTGCACTGCTCCACGCACCTGCACTGCTCCACGCACCTGCACTGCTCCACGCACCTGCACTGCTCCACGCACCTGCACTGCTCCACGCACCTGCACTGCTCCACGCACCTGCACTGCTCCACGCACCTGCACTGCTCCACGCACCTGCACTGCTCCACGCACCTGCACTGCTCCACGCACCTGCACTGCTCCACGCACCTGCACTGCTCCACGCACCTGCACTGCTCCACGCACCTGCACTGCTCCACGCACCTGCACTGCTCCACGCACCTGCACTGCTCCACGCACCTGCACTGCTCCACGCACCTGCACTGCTCCACGCACCTGCACTGCTCCACGCACCTGCACTGCTCCACGCACCTGCACTGCTCCACGCACCTGCACTGCTCCACGCACCTGCACTGCTCCACGCACCTGCACTGCTCCACGCACCTGCACTGCTCCACGCACCTGCACTGCTCCACGCACCTGCACTGCTCCACGCACCTGCACTGCTCCACGCACCTGCACTGCTCCACGCACCTGCACTGCTCCACGCACCTGCACTGCTCCACGCACCTGCACTGCTCCACGCACCTGCACTGCTCCACGCACCTGCACTGCTCCACGCACCTGCACTGCTCCACGCACCTGCACTGCTCCACGCACCTGCACTGCTCCACGCACCTGCACTGCTCCACGCACCTGCACTGCTCCACGCACCTGCACTGCTCCACGCACCTGCACTGCTCCACGCACCTGCACTGCTCCACGCACCTGCACTGCTCCACGCACCTGCACTGCTCCACGCACCTGCACTGCTCCACGCACCTGCACTGCTCCACGCACCTGCACTGCTCCACGCACCTGCACTGCTCCACGCACCTGCACTGCTCCACGCACCTGCACTGCTCCACGCACCTGCACTGCTCCACGCACCTGCACTGCTCCACGCACCTGCACTGCTCCACGCACCTGCACTGCTCCACGCACCTGCACTGCTCCACGCACCTGCACTGCTCCACGCACCTGCACTGCTCCACGCACCTGCACTGCTCCACGCACCTGCACTGCTCCACGCACCTGCACTGCTCCACGCACCTGCACTGCTCCACGCACCTGCACTGCTCCACGCACCTGCACTGCTCCACGCACCTGCACTGCTCCACGCACCTGCACTGCTCCACGCACCTGCACTGCTCCACGCACCTGCACTGCTCCACGCACCTGCACTGCTCCACGCACCTGCACTGCTCCACGCACCTGCACTGCTCCACGCACCTGCACTGCTCCACGCACCTGCACTGCTCCACGCACCTGCACTGCTCCACGCACCTGCACTGCTCCACGCACCTGCACTGCTCCACGCACCTGCACTGCTCCACGCACCTGCACTGCTCCACGCACCTGCACTGCTCCACGCACCTGCACTGCTCCACGCACCTGCACTGCTCCACGCACCTGCACTGCTCCACGCACCTGCACTGCTCCACGCACCTGCACTGCTCCACGCACCTGCACTGCTCCACGCACCTGCACTGCTCCACGCACCTGCACTGCTCCACGCACCTGCACTGCTCCACGCACCTGCACTGCTCCACGCACCTGCACTGCTCCACGCACCTGCACTGCTCCACGCACCTGCACTGCTCCACGCACCTGCACTGCTCCACGCACCTGCACTGCTCCACGCACCTGCACTGCTCCACGCACCTGCACTGCTCCACGCACCTGCACTGCTCCACGCACCTGCACTGCTCCACGCACCTGCACTGCTCCACGCACCTGCACTGCTCCACGCACCTGCACTGCTCCACGCACCTGCACTGCTCCACGCACCTGCACTGCTCCACGCACCTGCACTGCTCCACGCACCTGCACTGCTCCACGCACCTGCACTGCTCCACGCACCTGCACTGCTCCACGCACCTGCACTGCTCCACGCACCTGCACTGCTCCACGCACCTGCACTGCTCCACGCACCTGCACTGCTCCACGCACCTGCACTGCTCCACGCACCTGCACTGCTCCACGCACCTGCACTGCTCCACGCACCTGCACTGCTCCACGCACCTGCACTGCTCCACGCACCTGCACTGCTCCACGCACCTGCACTGCTCCACGCACCTGCACTGCTCCACGCACCTGCACTGCTCCACGCACCTGCACTGCTCCACGCACCTGCACTGCTCCACGCACCTGCACTGCTCCACGCACCTGCACTGCTCCACGCACCTGCACTGCTCCACGCACCTGCACTGCTCCACGCACCTGCACTGCTCCACGCACCTGCACTGCTCCACGCACCTGCACTGCTCCACGCACCTGCACTGCTCCACGCACCTGCACTGCTCCACGCACCTGCACTGCTCCACGCACCTGCACTGCTCCACGCACCTGCACTGCTCCACGCACCTGCACTGCTCCACGCACCTGCACTGCTCCACGCACCTGCACTGCTCCACGCACCTGCACTGCTCCACGCACCTGCACTGCTCCACGCACCTGCACTGCTCCACGCACCTGCACTGCTCCACGCACCTGCACTGCTCCACGCACCTGCACTGCTCCACGCACCTGCACTGCTCCACGCACCTGCACTGCTCCACGCACCTGCACTGCTCCACGCACCTGCACTGCTCCACGCACCTGCACTGCTCCACGCACCTGCACTGCTCCACGCACCTGCACTGCTCCACGCACCTGCACTGCTCCACGCACCTGCACTGCTCCACGCACCTGCACTGCTCCACGCACCTGCACTGCTCCACGCACCTGCACTGCTCCACGCACCTGCACTGCTCCACGCACCTGCACTGCTCCACGCACCTGCACTGCTCCACGCACCTGCACTGCTCCACGCACCTGCACTGCTCCACGCACCTGCACTGCTCCACGCACCTGCACTGCTCCACGCACCTGCACTGCTCCACGCACCTGCACTGCTCCACGCACCTGCACTGCTCCACGCACCTGCACTGCTCCACGCACCTGCACTGCTCCACACGCCTGCACTGCTCCACGCACCTGCACTGCTCCACGCACCTGCACTGCTCCACGCACCTGCACTGCTCCACGCACCTGCACTGCTCCACGCACCTGCACTGCTCCACGCACCTGCACTGCTCCACGCACCTGCACTGCTCCACGCACCTGCACTGCTCCACGCACCTGCACTGCTCCACGCACCTGCACTGCTCCACGCACCTGCACTGCTCCACGCACCTGCACTGCTCCACGCACCTGCACTGCTCCACGCACCTGCACTGCTCCACGCACCTGCACTGCTCCACGCACCTGCACTGCTCCACGCACCTGCACTGCTCCACGCACCTGCACTGCTCCACGCACCTGCACTGCTCCACGCACCTGCACTGCTCCACGCACCTGCACTGCTCCACGCACCTGCACTGCTCAGCGCACCTGCACTGCTCCACACACCTGCACTGCTCCACGCACCTGCACTGCTCCACGCACCTGCACTGCTCCACGCACCTGCACTGCTCCACGCACCTGCACTGCTCCACGCACCTGCACTGCTCCACGCACCTGCACTGCTCCACGCACCTGCACTGCTCCACGCACCTGCACTGCTCCACGCACCTGCACTGCTCCACGCACCTGCACTGCTCCACGCACCTGCACTGCTCCACGCACCTGCACTGCTCCACGCACCTGCACTGCTCCACGCACCTGCACTGCTCCACGCACCTGCACTGCTCCACGCACCTGCACTGCTCCACGCACCTGCACTGCTCCACGCACCTGCACTGCTCCACGCACCTGCACTGCTCCACGCACCTGCACTGCTCCACGCACCTGCACTGCTCCACGCACCTGCACTGCTCCACGCACCTGCACTGCTCCACGCACCTGCACTGCTCCACGCACCTGCACTGCTCCACGCACCTGCACTGCTCCACGCACCTGCACTGCTCCACGCACCTGCACTGCTCCACGCACCTGCACTGCTCCACGCACCTGCACTGCTCCACGCACCTGCACTGCTCCACGCACCTGCACTGCTCCACGCACCTGCACTGCTCCACGCACCTGCACTGCTCCACGCACCTGCACTGCTCCACGCACCTGCACTGCTCCACGCACCTGCACTGCTCCACGCACCTGCACTGCTCCACGCACCTGCACTGCTCCACGCACCTGCACTGCTCCACGCACCTGCACTGCTCCACGCACCTGCACTGCTCCACGCACCTGCACTGCTCCACGCACCTGCACTGCTCCACGCACCTGCACTGCTCAGCGCACCTGCACTGCTCCACGCACCTGCACTGCTCCACGCACCTGCACTGCTCCACGCACCTGCACTGCTCCACGCACCTGCACTGCTCCACGCACCTGCACTGCTCCACGCACCTGCACTGCTCCACGCACCTGCACTGCTCCACGCACCTGCACTGCTCCACGCACCTGCACTGCTCCACGCACCTGCACTGCTCCACGCACCTGCACTGCTCCACGCACCTGCACTGCTCCACGCACCTGCACTGCTCCACGCACCTGCACTGCTCCACGCACCTGCACTGCTCCACGCACCTGCACTGCTCCACGCACCTGCACTGCTCCACGCACCTGCACTGCTCCACGCACCTGCACTGCTCCACGCACCTGCACTGCTCCACGCACCTGCACTGCTCCACGCACCTGCACTGCTCCACGCACCTGCACTGCTCCACGCACCTGCACTGCTCCACGCACCTGCACTGCTCCACGCACCTGCACTGCTCCACGCACCTGCACTGCTCCACGCACCTGCACTGCTCCACGCACCTGCACTGCTCCACGCACCTGCACTGCTCCACGCACCTGCACTGCTCCACGCACCTGCACTGCTCCACGCACCTGCACTGCTCCACGCACCTGCACTGCTCCACGCACCTGCACTGCTCCACGCACCTGCACTGCTCCACGCACCTGCACTGCTCCACGCACCTGCACTGCTCCACGCACCTGCACTGCTCCACGCACCTGCACTGCTCCACGCACCTGCACTGCTCCACGCACCTGCACTGCTCCACGCACCTGCACTGCTCCACGCACCTGCACTGCTCCACGCACCTGCACTGCTCCACGCACCTGCACTGCTCCACGCACCTGCACTGCTCCACGCACCTGCACTGCTCCACGCACCTGCACTGCTCCACGCACCTGCACTGCTCCACGCACCTGCACTGCTCCACGCACCTGCACTGCTCCACGCACCTGCACTGCTCCACGCACCTGCACTGCTCCACGCACCTGCACTGCTCCACGCACCTGCACTGCTCCACGCACCTGCACTGCTCCACGCACCTGCACTGCTCCACGCACCTGCACTGCTCCACGCACCTGCACTGCTCCACGCACCTGCACTGCTCCACGCACCTGCACTGCTCCACGCACCTGCACTGCTCCACGCACCTGCACTGCTCCACGCACCTGCACTGCTCCACGCACCTGCACTGCTCCACGCACCTGCACTGCTCCACGCACCTGCACTGCTCCACGCACCTGCACTGCTCCACGCACCTGCACTGCTCCACGCACCTGCACTGCTCCACGCACCTGCACTGCTCCACGCACCTGCACTGCTCCACGCACCTGCACTGCTCCACGCACCTGCACTGCTCCACGCACCTGCACTGCTCCACGCACCTGCACTGCTCCACGCACCTGCACTGCTCCACGCACCTGCACTGCTCCACGCACCTGCACTGCTCCACGCACCTGCACTGCTCCACGCACCTGCACTGCTCCACGCACCTGCACTGCTCCACGCACCTGCACTGCTCCACGCACCTGCACTGCTCCACGCACCTGCACTGCTCCACGCACCTGCACTGCTCCACGCACCTGCACTGCTCCACGCACCTGCACTGCTCCACGCACCTGCACTGCTCCACGCACCTGCACTGCTCCACGCACCTGCACTGCTCCACGCACCTGCACTGCTCCACGCACCTGCACTGCTCCACGCACCTGCACTGCTCCACGCACCTGCACTGCTCCACGCACCTGCACTGCTCCACGCACCTGCACTGCTCCACGCACCTGCACTGCTCCACGCACCTGCACTGCTCCACGCACCTGCACTGCTCCACGCACCTGCACTGCTCCACGCACCTGCACTGCTCCACGCACCTGCACTGCTCCACGCACCTGCACTGCTCCACGCACCTGCACTGCTCCACGCACCTGCACTGCTCCACGCACCTGCACTGCTCCACGCACCTGCACTGCTCCACGCACCTGCACTGCTCCACGCACCTGCACTGCTCCACGCACCTGCACTGCTCCACGCACCTGCACTGCTCCACGCACCTGCACTGCTCCACGCACCTGCACTGCTCCACGCACCTGCACTGCTCCACGCACCTGCACTGCTCCACGCACCTGCACTGCTCCACGCACCTGCACTGCTCCACGCACCTGCACTGCTCCACGCACCTGCACTGCTCCACGCACCTGCACTGCTCCACGCACCTGCACTGCTCCACGCACCTGCACTGCTCCACGCACCTGCACTGCTCCACGCACCTGCACTGCTCCACGCACCTGCACTGCTCCACGCACCTGCACTGCTCCACGCACCTGCACTGCTCCACGCACCTGCACTGCTCCACGCACCTGCACTGCTCCACGCACCTGCACTGCTCCACGCACCTGCACTGCTCCACGCACCTGCACTGCTCCACGCACCTGCACTGCTCCACGCACCTGCACTGCTCCACGCACCTGCACTGCTCCACGCACCTGCACTGCTCCACGCACCTGCACTGCTCCACGCACCTGCACTGCTCCACGCACCTGCACTGCTCCACGCACCTGCACTGCTCCACGCACCTGCACTGCTCCACGCACCTGCACTGCTCCACGCACCTGCACTGCTCCACGCACCTGCACTGCTCCACGCACCTGCACTGCTCCACGCACCTGCACTGCTCCACGCACCTGCACTGCTCCACGCACCTGCACTGCTCCACGCACCTGCACTGCTCCACGCACCTGCACTGCTCCACGCACCTGCACTGCTCCACGCACCTGCACTGCTCCACGCACCTGCACTGCTCCACGCACCTGCACTGCTCCACGCACCTGCACTGCTCCACGCACCTGCACTGCTCCACGCACCTGCACTGCTCCACGCACCTGCACTGCTCCACGCACCTGCACTGCTCCACGCACCTGCACTGCTCCACGCACCTGCACTGCTCCACGCACCTGCACTGCTCCACGCACCTGCACTGCTCCACGCACCTGCACTGCTCCACGCACCTGCACTGCTCCACGCACCTGCACTGCTCCACGCACCTGCACTGCTCCACGCACCTGCACTGCTCCACGCACCTGCACTGCTCCACGCACCTGCACTGCTCCACGCACCTGCACTGCTCCACGCACCTGCACTGCTCCACGCACCTGCACTGCTCCACGCACCTGCACTGCTCCACGCACCTGCACTGCTCCACGCACCTGCACTGCTCCACGCACCTGCACTGCTCCACGCACCTGCACTGCTCCACGCACCTGCACTGCTCCACGCACCTGCACTGCTCCACGCACCTGCACTGCTCCACGCACCTGCACTGCTCCACGCACCTGCACTGCTCCACGCACCTGCACTGCTCCACGCACCTGCACTGCTCCACGCACCTGCACTGCTCCACGCACCTGCACTGCTCCACGCACCTGCACTGCTCCACGCACCTGCACTGCTCCACGCACCTGCACTGCTCCACGCACCTGCACTGCTCCACGCACCTGCACTGCTCCACGCACCTGCACTGCTCCACGCACCTGCACTGCTCCACGCACCTGCACTGCTCCACGCACCTGCACTGCTCCACGCACCTGCACTGCTCCACGCACCTGCACTGCTCCACGCACCTGCACTGCTCCACGCACCTGCACTGCTCCACGCACCTGCACTGCTCCACGCACCTGCACTGCTCCACGCACCTGCACTGCTCCACGCACCTGCACTGCTCCACGCACCTGCACTGCTCCACGCACCTGCACTGCTCCACGCACCTGCACTGCTCCACGCACCTGCACTGCTCCACGCACCTGCACTGCTCCACGCACCTGCACTGCTCCACGCACCTGCACTGCTCCACGCACCTGCACTGCTCCACGCACCTGCACTGCTCCACGCACCTGCACTGCTCCACGCACCTGCACTGCTCCACGCACCTGCACTGCTCCACGCACCTGCACTGCTCCACGCACCTGCACTGCTCCACGCACCTGCACTGCTCCACGCACCTGCACTGCTCCACGCACCTGCACTGCTCCACGCACCTGCACTGCTCCACGCACCTGCACTGCTCCACGCACCTGCACTGCTCCACGCACCTGCACTGCTCCACGCACCTGCACTGCTCCACGCACCTGCACTGCTCCACGCACCTGCACTGCTCCACGCACCTGCACTGCTCCACGCACCTGCACTGCTCCACGCACCTGCACTGCTCCACGCACCTGCACTGCTCCACGCACCTGCACTGCTCCACGCACCTGCACTGCTCCACGCACCTGCACTGCTCCACGCACCTGCACTGCTCCACGCACCTGCACTGCTCCACGCACCTGCACTGCTCCACGCACCTGCACTGCTCCACGCACCTGCACTGCTCCACGCACCTGCACTGCTCCACGCACCTGCACTGCTCCACGCACCTGCACTGCTCCACGCACCTGCACTGCTCCACGCACCTGCACTGCTCCACGCACCTGCACTGCTCCACGCACCTGCACTGCTCCACGCACCTGCACTGCTCCACGCACCTGCACTGCTCCACGCACCTGCACTGCTCCACGCACCTGCACTGCTCCACGCACCTGCACTGCTCCACGCACCTGCACTGCTCCACGCACCTGCACTGCTCCACGCACCTGCACTGCTCCACGCACCTGCACTGCTCCACGCACCTGCACTGCTCCACGCACCTGCACTGCTCCACGCACCTGCACTGCTCCACGCACCTGCACTGCTCCACGCACCTGCACTGCTCCACGCACCTGCACTGCTCCACGCACCTGCACTGCTCCACGCACCTGCACTGCTCCACGCACCTGCACTGCTCCACGCACCTGCACTGCTCCACGCACCTGCACTGCTCCACGCACCTGCACTGCTCCACGCACCTGCACTGCTCCACGCACCTGCTGGCCCGTGGCATGCGAGGCAAAGGCAAAGTCCGTGAGGTTGCCCGCCATGCCCGCCTGTATCACATCCGCACTCTCAGCTAGCCGCCGCCGCCACCACGCCACTGACGACCCCCCCTCATCCTCGCCCTCCTCCCCACTGCTGCTGCCGCTGCTGCTGCCACTGCTGCTGCCGCTGCTGTTGCCACTGCTGTTGCCACTGCTGCTCGCGGAACTGTATTCCCGCTGCCGCTCTCTCTCCTCGTACTCGTTGGGCTGAGGCGAGGGGGATGGCATGGGATGGGATGGGATGGGATGGGATGGGATGGGATGGGATGGGATGGGATGGGATGGGATGGGATGGGATGGGATGGGATGGGATGGGATGGGATGGGATGGGATGAGAGCATGTGTCATGCTGGGAGGCTAAGGGAAAGCACAAGTGTGAAGGCATGGGGTGTGTGGCAATTGCACAGGACAGCATGGGCGCAGCGCAGCACGGTAAAATGACAGTGGATAGTAGTGACACATGTGTAGTTTTAAAGCGCCTCAAAATGATGGATAGGAGTGACAGATGTGTGAATCAATCCGGAAACGACAGGGGCCCTTTAGAGTCCAGCGCACAAAGCAATGCGAAACGATGGAAGCGGCTTTGAAGAGGAAGCGACAGGGAGGGACGTGGGGATATGGGGCATGGAGCACAGACGAGCAGCAGGAGGCCCGAGGCGAAGCCCTGCTGCAGTGGATTGCCAAAGGGCGACCCCCCAAGCACTGCATCGCGGAACCGATCGTTGAAACTGATGGGGAAATGTAGTAGAGGGGCAAAAAGAGCAACATGGCGTGGGAAAATGTGGGACGGGGGATGGGAAAGCAAAGCATTTAGGTGGGCATTCAGGCTCCGAGAGACTTCAAATCCAAGTAATGCGAGCTATGGAAGTGCTTAGGTGTGCGGAGATACTGAGGGCATCAAGTGCCTTCTTGTGGTGACGACTCACGAGGGCCTCACCTCCCGATGCCCGTGCCATGGCTAAGGCAATGCTTAGGTGTGCGGAGATACTGAGGGCATCAAGTGCCTTCCACCCAGTGCTCATGAGGGCCTCACCTGCCGATGCCTGTGCCATGCAGGTTGGCCTGAGCTCCGTTCACCCCGCGGCCATTATTCGCCACCTCGCCAAAGTCCCACCCCTCACCATACCTGGTGTGTGTGTGTGGATGTGCCATTGCAGGGAGTGCAGGGGCGTAGGAAAACGATGAGAAAACTTATTGAAGCCCAAGGAGCGGAGCCAGCAGGATGTGACAGCAATGGAGGGCAAAATGCTAGTGGGCAATGGTATGAGACATTGATTCTGTTGATTCTCACAAGTGAGAGGGCGCTTATTGAGTCGCATCTCAGCAGTTCATTCTCACAAGTAGATGGCCTTGCCGTCCACCCCGTGCTCCCCAACTGTGAGTGCGTCAAGTGCCGATCGGATGCGCATCTGAGGGTGAGGCAAGAAGAAGAGGCAGGGAGACGAGGCAAGGAGATGAGGCAAGGAGAAGACAAGACATAATGGGTGTGAAGAGAAAGAGATTGATTTAGCGGGGCGTAAATCACTCACCATGCTGTGTGCTAATCACAGCAGCACTCACCATGGTATGCTTCATGAGGTGCCCCATGAGGTCGAACCGGAACCCATCCACCTGTCATGCAATGACACCAGGGATCAGATCAGAGCCGATGGATTAACGTTGAAACAAGACGTGTTGCCTTTTGTCGGAAAAAAAAAGTTTCAGATGTGACTTTTTTCAAACGTAATCTTGCGCAGACATACACACAAAATGTAACTGTGATTCGAGCATGAGTGTGCTCAGGACGTGACTGTGCTGTAAATGTAACTGTTCTCGGACATTACATTTTCTCTGGTTACACGCAGTTTGGTTGCACCACAGTTACCGAGCAATCACAGACTAACAAAAAAAAAGGAATAAGGAGATTCTTCAGGCAATGCCTGACCTTGTACTGCGTGGCCCACATGATGACATCATCCACTATCAGCCTCTCCACCATCGCATGCTCGCTCGCCGTGTTGTTTTGAGACGTCTCAGAACAACTCTTTCATCACGTGCCTCACCTTGTACTGCGTGGCCCACATGATGACATCATCCACTATCAGCCTCTCCACCATCGCATGCTCGCTCGCCGTGTTGTTGCAGCATGCACTGCTCTCCACCCGCCCCTCCATGTCCCTCCGCACATAGTAACCCGGTACCACCTGGTGTGTGGCACGATCGGCAAGTGAGGGTGGGTAGTGGCGCAGAGAGAGAGGAGCGGCGCAGAGAGAGAGGAGCGGCGCAGAGAGAGAGGAGCGGCGCAGAGAGAGAGGAGCGGCGCAGAGAGAGAGGAGCGGCGCAGAGAGAGAGGAGCGGCGCAGAGAGAGAGAGGAGCGGCGCAGAGAGAGAGGAGCGGCGCAGAGAGAGAGGAGCGGCGCAGAGAGAGAGGAGCGGCGCAGAGAGAGAGGAGCGGCGCAGAGAGGGAGGAGCGGCGCAGAGAGGGAGGAGAGGCACAGAGAGGGAGGAGGGGCACAGAGAGGGAGGAGAGGCACAGAGAGGGAGGAGAGGCACAGAGAGGGAGGAGAGGCACAGAGAGGGAGGAGAGGCACAGAGAGGGAGTGCAAAGATAAGCAGTGGGAAGCAGCAGAGAGCTGTCAGACGTTATCGGTCACTCAGACGCACCTTATGGAGCACAAGAAAAAGACTGTGCTGGCTGTGAGGCTGTGCAACTGAACAATGATACATTTACCGAGACACACCTTATCGAGGACGGAGAAGGGGCTGTGCGGGCCACTGGCGTAGAGGTGGTTGTAGACCACATCCAGCACCACCCTCAACCCCATGCCATTCACTGCCTGCCCACAGGGGGAGGGGGCACAGGAAGGAGCCGAGGGAGGAGCATAGGAAGGGGCAGAGGGAGGAGCCGAGGGAGGCAAGAGATGAAGGGGTGTGCTGGCTATGAGGGCTGTGAGGGTTGTGCGGGCCACTGGCGTAGAGGTGGTTGTAAACCACATCGAGCACCACCCTCCCCATGCCGTTCACTGCCTGCCCAATGCCCCGCGCCCACCGTGGCGGTGGAGAGGGTGGGGATTGGCACATTACACGGGGGCACAGGGAGGGACAATGAAAAAGCATAGTATGTTTCTGAGGGGACCTTTCCGGCTCTTTTATGATCAATGTGTGTGAGGTTGGAGTTTCCTCAAGCAGGGTACATGATACGTGTTACTGGCACCAAATTACGGAGGTATGTATGTCGCCTATTCATTTATGCATGAAGAAAGAGGAAAAGGAGGTCACGTTCACCATACACTACTTTAGCACCATACTCTCCAGCCCCCATACCCACATGCACCACACCCACCTGCACCACACCCACCTGCACCACACCCACCTGCACCACACCCACCTACACCACACCCACCTGCACCACACCCACCTGCACCATGGAGCGGAACTCAAGCGTGCGAGCAGCGCCATCAGCGTGAGTGGCGTAGCTGCCATCCGGCACTCCCCAGTGCACCGGGTCGTACCTGGGGGAGGGGGGCATGAGAAGGGGGAATGCAGGGCAGGTGGGTGGAGGGCAGGCAAGGAGAGGGGAGGTGGAAAGAGGGGCAGGCACACAGAGAGGCAGGCACGTGCTCATGTGGGAGCCCAAGCAGACACTGCCTCTCACCCGCTGTCACTTGAGCCCCTCAACCTCCATGCAGGCATGGCAGCGTGCAGGCATGGCAGGGTGCAGGCATGGCAGGGTGCAGGCATGGCAGGGTGCAGGCATGGCAGGGTGCAGGCATGGCAGGGTGCAGGCATGGCAGGGTGCAGGCATGGCAGGGTGCAGGCATGGCAGCGTGCAGGCATGGCAGGGTGCAGGCATGGCAGCGTGCAGGCATGGCAGCGTGCAGGCATGGCAGGGTGCAGGCATGGCAGGGTGCAGGCATGGCAGGGTGCAGGCATGGCAGGGTGCAGGCATGGCAGGGTGCAGGCATGGCAGGGTGCAGGCATGGCAGGGTGCAGGCATGGCAGGGTGCAGGCATGGCAGGGTGCAGGCATGGCAGGGTGCAGGCAGGAGCAACAGCAACCGCACAGCAGCGCAACCACAACTGCAGGCCGTGCAAGCCCGCAAAGCCAAGCCCTGAACCCCAAGGACTCACCCCCAGTTGTACGCGTCGACATCCTTCACGGCTGCTACAGCCGCCTGCTGCCGGTCCGAGTCAGGCGGGTAGCTCCTGAGGGAGGGCTCATCTGCGTTGGAGGGTGGGGTGGGCAGACGGGAGGATTGCATGTGAGTGAGGGGGTTGGCTCCTGAGGGAGGGCTCATCTGCAGCATTGCACGGCAGAGCAGCAGGGAAGGGAGCACAGTAGGGACAACTACGCGAGTCAGAGGGGTCCTTGACAAAAGCAACCACACGAGTGAGAGGGGTCCTTGACAGCTGTGTTGGAAAAGTCGCGCCCAGCGTATTATACGCAAGCGTATATACGCTTGCGTATAATACGGGATGCGCTGACTGGGTGACTCAAGAACACGTGAAAAATACGCTGCCCGGGCAGGTAAAACTTTTTTCCGGTCAGGCAGGACTAGGAACCTCATTAGTCGCACTCGCTGGAGTGCCATTGGGGGCGTCATCGTAGAGCTGCGAGGCGATCGAGAGAACTGGAGAAAGAGAATCACGACGCGACTGATGAGATGTTTTAGGGTTGGGAGGGATTATCTTTTTGTCATCGATGAGAGTTGAGATAGGCTGGTTGGAGACATTCATGTAGCTGAGTTGGAGTTGCGGGGTAACGGACGGTGCAATGCGGTTGATTTGAATGCCCCCTTGCCAAATTTGTGTGTTGGTGGGGTCGACGAATTGTGATGTTGCGAACAATTTGACGTTGCATTTGCAAAATTCGTGCGCACAATGTGTGTCGCGACGAATTTTCCAATTTCGTGCGCGAACTTTTTCTTTTTCTTTTTTGGCCGGGCAGCCCGGATTTTTCCGAACGAATGTACGTGCGTATTGCGTACAGCGTATATTCGTCTACGAATATACGCTGTACGCATGCCCAGGCTGGCGACTTTTCCAACATAGCTTGACAGAGACAACCACGCGGCTCATGCTGCTGCTCACTGCTGGCTCACCCCCAGTCTCACTGCTCTCACGCACTATGTATGATGCACTGCACCACAGCGCTCTTCCACCTCTGCTCCACCCACCCACCCGCAGCCTCCCAGTTTGCTGGTGTCAAGATTCAGAGAGTTAGCGGCATCGACAGGCGGGTGCGGCATGGGCAGGCAGGTGGGACGTGCTGGGCAGGCAGGTGGGACGTGCTGGGCAGGCAGGTGGGACGTACTGGGCTGGGCAGCGTGCAGGCATGGGAGAGGAGCACGGCAGCACACAAGCCTCAAGGCGAGCAGGGAGAGGCACTGACCGATGGCCTGCCAGGTGGTCTTGTCCTCGTTGAGTGAGCCAAAGTCGTAGGCTGGCAGCAGGTGCAGGTGGGTGAGCCCGGTAGTGCATGGAGAGCACCGTGCAGGCACAGGAGCAGAGCATAGCATCACGCAGTGATGAGGGAGAGGCACTGACCGACAGATTGCCAGGTGGTCTTGTCCTCGTTGACAGAGCCGAAGTCGTAGACTGGCAGCAGATGCAGGTGGGTGAGCCCGCTGGCCGCCAGCTGTGTCAGATGCTGCGCGCCCTGTGACTGCTGTTGAGAGGGGAGATGGAGGAGAGAGAGCAGGAGGAGAAAAACGGCAAAGACAAGGGGTTGGTAAGATGCACGGTGCAATAGCGTACAGTACATGGATGGAAGCGTGTGTGGGAAGGCAAGGAGGGACGGAGAATAGCACATGGATGGAGAGTTGAGTGATGGGGTGCGTGGAAGCAGTGGGGTGCAAAACGCAGCGCGCTGGCGGCAGGCGACTGTGAATCGGGAGGTGGGACGTGGGAAGGCAGTGGGGCAGGTGTGGTGCGGCACTGGGGAAAAGCGGGGCAGGAGTGGCAAGTGTGCACGCACGGGGTGGGTGAAGGCGAGATACGTTCCGCGGTGGGGCTCTGGCACTGAGGGGTCCGATGCACTGACGGATGCATTGGGTGGTGGCGAGGAGAGAGCATGGGCGAAAAGGGCGAGAGAGGGAGGAATTGGTAGAAATTTCTAGGAAGCAAGGCAGGGAGAGAGAAAGAGAGGCATAGTGCATGGAGCAGAGGAGAGCATGTAGGTAGCACGAGCACGAGGGCGCAAGCAGGCCAGGCAGGTCAGGATGCTACAGAAGGAGGAGCATAACAACACGAGTGCAGAACCTTGCTCGACAAACAACCGCACAGGCACAAGTGTGAAGAAAGAATGGCGAGCAGTTTTGGTGTGAGAGTGCATGTGGAATGAGGGCAGTGGGATTGAAGCACACCTGAAGTCACGGATGTGCAGCACACCTGAAGTCACGGATGTGCAGCACACCTGAAGTCACGGATGTGCAGCTCGTAGATGGACACGTCTGAAAACGACTGCAGAGGCGGCTTCCGCTCATGCAAGGTGGACCAATCAGGCGGCGCCAATGCGGCATCACTCAGGTCGACCACCAATGAGCGCTCTCCATTGGCCGAGAGACTGATGGGGCAGGGAGGAGGGGAAGAGGGAAAGGGTGGCAGGGCAAAGAGCACAAGCAAGTAGCCCATGAGGACTTTTTTGAGTCGACTCAAAAATCAACTGGCAGGGAGGAGGGGAAGAGGGAGAGGGCGGCAGGGCAAAGAGCACAAGCAAGCAGCCCATGAGGTGGAATTCCAGAAACGAGGCAGAACGTTTAACACAAATCTCAGAAACTCTCAGAGACGACTTTTGAGTCGACTCAAGGGTGGCAGGGCAAAGAGCACACAAGCAAGCAGCCCATCAGGAACTCCAGAAACGAGGCAGAACGTTTAACACAATCTCAGAAACACTCAGAGACCCAAAGTCCATAACACGTATGGAAAAAAGTATATAAGAGCGGAAAAGGACGTACCCGCGGGAGTAAGGGTCGGTGGTGACACATGTCTCGATTCTATTGGTGGAGGGATGGAAGACCCGGATCTCGTACTGATAGTACCTGCCCTGCCATGCCATGGAGCCCTCTGCACTCCACTGCCCCTCGCTGCCCCTCTCCATTGCCAGGCGAGCCACGGGTGGGGAAGCGTGGGGCTGGTCGAACAGCAGCAGCGTGACCTCCTGCGCGGAGAGCGGGTGAGGGGGGGAGAATGAGAGCAGGTGCGGAGGTTGTACTGGCGGGGCGTGAAAACAGCTGCTTTCCATGCGCTGGCGAGCCACGGGTGGGGTTGCGTGGGGCTAGTCGAACAGCAGTAGCGTGACCTCCTGAAGGGGAGACGGGTTGAGGAAGAGCGCGAGGAGGTGCATGGGAGGGGCGTGAAGAGAGGTGGGGAAGGCATGTGACCTCCTCGTCACTGCGCCATTGGCTGGCGAGTCACAGGGCGGAATGCATGTGGTTGGTTGAACAGTAGCAGTGTGACCCCCTGAAGGGAGAGCGATGAGAAGGTTAAAAGGGGAGGCGAGCAGGAGAGGAAAGCAGGAGAGGAAAGCAGGAGAGGTTGCAGGAGAGGAAAGCAGGAGAGGAAAGCAGGAGAGGTTGCAGGAGAGGTTGCAGGTGAGGTTGCAGGAGAGGTTGCAGGTGAGGTTGCAGGAGAGGTTGCAGGAGAGGTTGCAGGTGAGGTTGCAGGAGAGGTTGCAGGAGAGGTTGCAGGTGAGGTTGCAGGAGAGGTTGCAGGAGAGGTTGCAGGTGAGGTTGCAGGAGAGGTTGCAGGAGAGGTTGCAGGAGAGGTTGCAGGAGAGGTTGCAGGAGAGGTTGCAGGAGAGGTTGCAGGAGAGGTTGCAGGTGAGGTTGCAGGAGAGGTTGCAGGAGAGGTTGCAGGAGAGGTTGCAGGAGAGGTTGCAGGAGAGGTTGCAGGAGAGGTTGCAGGAGAGGTTGCAGGTGAGGAGGTGTACGGGAGGGGCGGAAAGAGCTGCTCCTCTCCATGGGCTTGCAAGCTAAGGGAATGCATGAGCCTGGTCGAACAGCAGTAGAAGAGAGAGCGGGTGAGGGAGAAAGATTGAGAGTAGGTGAGGGGAGCAGTTGAAGGGAAGGAGGGAAGAAACGTCTGAAGTACATGATTCATGGGTTAGGTTTCAGAAATTGTTTCTGTCAGTGTGGTTGCTTATAAGCGGTATAACTAGCTGGTGAATGCTGAGCAGCACAAGGTGCTGAGCTGAGCCCCTCACCACTGCAGTGCACCCCAGCGCACCTGAGTAGTGGGCGCCCACACATGAATGCTCACAGTGCCACCGGATCCCCCCTGCTCAATGTGCGCCCCCAGTGGCCCCTCGTACCGACACAGTGGCCCCTCACACCGACACAAGAACCTGAGCCTTGAGTGTTGACTTAGCGGCCAGCGCACCTGAGCAGTGGGCGCCCACACGTGAATGCTCACAGTGCCACTTCCACCGCCCCCCCCCTGCTCAACGTGCGCCCCCAGCGGCCCCTCGTACAAGCACAGAGCATCCAGCGCTCCTGCCACCTGCAGGCACGTGGCGTCGATGGGCGTGCCTGATGCTGGTGGGATGAGAGAAGCAGTGTGGGGAGGGGCGAGAGAGGGCAGATGAGACACGTGCACTGTTCAGACACGGCACATCCAGCCACCTGCACGCATGTGGCGTCCAGGGGCGTGCCTGATGCTGGCGGGATGATGGTAGCAATGGGGGGGATATGGCGTAGAAAGAGGGGTGGGGGAGCAGAGGGGGGGATGGGTAGACAAGACCACCGGGTCACCACCCAGCGCCTCCCCTGCCTTGCCACATGCGCCCATTCGTCTCCACAGCACAGGCGCCCCTAGCAGCCCCTCGCACAGGCGCCCCTAGCAGCCCCTCGCACAGGCGCCCCTACCAGCCCCTCGTACCCACACAGCGCGACCAGCGCCCATGCCAGCTGCAGGCATGTGGTGTCTACAGGTGTCTGTGCGATGACAGTGTGGGTCAGAGGGGCAGGGGGGGTACACACGGAGAGGGAGGATGAGACAAGTGCATCCTACAATACAGCGCACATTCCTCCTCCCTTGACTCCTCCCACACAGGACTTGCACTGATATTATTGTCCCCCGATAGACACACGATAATCCCCTGCTCAATATGCAGCCTGCTCCGCGCATGCAAGGAACCTTCCTCTCGACCTCCACTCGCACGAGGCACATCCCTCCGTCGAGTGCCACCTTACCTCCCTCCTCTCACCCCTCGCCCCCATCCACATCCTGTTAGAAAACCTCTATTCTATTCATCCTGCATATGCTAGTTCGCTTGTCTAGAGTTAAGCACCCAAACTTAGTTTGGGTGTACAAACAGGAGTAACCCAGTTTGTAGGTTGGAACCCAACCTTGGTCCAATTATTGGACCCCAAAGGTTGGGTTGGGTAGAATTATTGGTCCCCTCCAATAATGTTGGCCCAACTCCAACTTGGCCAACATTATTGGACCCCACCAATAATCTCCCAACCCAACTTCTTGGTTGGGGTCCAATAATGCTCACCTAGGCTAGTATCCAACCCACTTCCTATGTATACCCCCATCCTCCTCAATCAATCATCAACTTCTTTCAGTTCTCAAGTCATCCTTCACAGAATTCTAACATGGTGTCAGAGCATTTTGGCTCACGCCCCTCACGATCCTAGGACCATGTCTCCTGCGTGTCCTTCCAAGCGATTTCGCGGCGGTTTCGGTGCCGTCCGCCGAATCACGACCATCGAGGCCGTCGCGACCAGCAGCCGCGCGGACTCAATTTTACGTCGATTTCGGCACCCTCCGTCCGCCGCATCGCTACAGCCACTCCCGTCGCTTCCGCCCTCGCGCCTAACAGCGCCCCTCTCCCGTCGCTTCCGCCCTCGCGCCGAAAAGCGCCCCGCTCCCGTCGCCTCCGCCCTCGCGCCTAACGGCGCCCCGCTCCCGTCGCCTCCGCCCTCGCGCCTAACGGCGCCGCGCCCCCGTCGCCTCCGCCCTCGCGCCTAACGGCGCCCCGCTCCCGTCGCCTCCGCCCTCGCGCCTAACGGCGCCCCGCTCCCGTCGCCTCCGCCCTCGCGCCTAACGGCGCCCCGCTCCCGTCGCCTCCGCCCTCGCGCCTAACGGCGCCCCGCTCCCGTCGCCTCCGCCCTCGCGCCTAACGGCGCCCCGCTCCCGTCGCCTCCGCCCTCGCGCCTAACGGCGCCCCGCTCCCGTCGCCTCCGCCCTCGCGCCTAACGGCGCCCCGCTCCCGTCGCCTCCGCCCTCGCGCCGAAAAGCGCTCCGCTCCCGTCGCCTCCGCCCTCGCGCCTAACGGCGCCCCGCTCCCGTCGCCTCCGCCCTCGCGCCTAACGGCGCCCCGCTCCCGTCGCCTCCGCCCTCGCGCCTAACGGCGCCCCGCTCCCGTCGCCTCCGCCCTCGCGCCTAACGGCGCCCCGCTCCCGTCGCCTCCGCCCTCGCGCCTAACGGCGCCCCGCTCCCGTCGCCTCCGCCCTCGCGCCTAACGGCGCCCCGCTCCCGTCGCCTCCGCCCTCGCGCCTAACGGCGCCCCGCTCCCGTCGCCTCCGCCCTCGCGCCTAACGGCGCCCCGCTCCCGTCGCCTCCGCCCTCGCGCCTAACGGCGCCCCGCTCCCGTCGCCTCCGCCCTCGCGCCTAACGGCGCCCCGCTCCCGTCGCCTCCGCCCTCGCGCCTAACGGCGCCCCGCTCCCGTCGCCTCCGCCCTCGCGCCTAACGGCGCCCCGCTCCCGTCGCCTCCGCCCTCGCGCCTAACGGCGCCCCGCTCCCGTCGCCTCCGCCCTCGCGCCTAACGGCGCCCCGCTCCCGTCGCCTCCGCCCTCGCGCCTAACGGCGCCCCGCTCCCGTCGCCTCCGCCCTCGCGCCTAACGGCGCCCCGCTCCCGTCGCCTCCGCCCTCGCGCCTAACGGCGCCCCGCTCCCGTCGCCTCCGCCCTCGCGCCTAACGGCGCCCCGCTCCCGTCGCCTCCGCCCTCGCGCCTAACGGCGCCCCGCTCCCGTCGCCTCCGCCCTCGCGCCTAACGGCGCCCCGCTCCCGTCGCCTCCGCCCTCGCGCCTAACGGCGCCCCGCTCCCGTCGCCTCCGCCCTCGCGCCTAACGGCGCCCCGCTCCCGTCGCCTCCGCCCTCGCGCCTAACGGCGCCCCGCTCCCGTCGCCTCCGCCCTCGCGCCTAACGGCGCCCCGCTCCCGTCGCCTCCGCCCTCGCGCCTAACGGCGCCCCGCTCCCGTCGCCTCCGCCCTCGCGCCTAACGGCGCCCCGCTCCCGTCGCCTCCGCCCTCGCGCCTAACGGCGCCCCGCTCCCGTCGCCTCCGCCCTCGCGCCTAACGGCGCCCCGCTCCCGTCGCCTCCGCCCTCGCGCCTAACGGCGCCCCGCTCCTGTCGCGCCCTCGCGCCTCCCCCCGCCCCGCCTACCGGCGCCCCGCTCCGCCGCCTCGCCGCCTCGCCATCCTGCCCTCCTTTCCCCTCGTTTCCTCCCCCTTAAGGGCCATCCCGCCCTCCTTCCCCTCGCTTCCTCCTCCTACGGGCTATCCCGCCCCCTTTCCCCTCGCTTCCACCTCCTAAGGGCCATCCCGCCCTCCTTCCCCCCCTCGATTCCTCCTCTTAAGGGCCATCCCGCCCTCCTTCCCCCTCGCTTCCTCCTCCTAAGGGCCATCCCGCCCTCCTTCCCCCTCGCTTCCTCCTCCTAAGGGCCATCCCGCCCTCCTTCCCCCTCGCTTCCTCCTCCTAAGGGCCATCCCGCCCTCCTCCCCCCTCGTTTCCTCCTCCTTAAGGGCCATCCCGCCCTCCTTCCCCCTCGCTTCCTCCTCCTAAAGGGCCATCCCGCCCTCCTCCCCCCTCGTTTCCTCCTCTTTAAAGGCCATCCCGCCCTCCTTCCCCCTCGCTTCCTCCTCCTTAGGGCCATCCCGCCCTCCTCCCCCCTCGCTTCCACCTCCTAAGGGCCATCCCGCCCTCCTTCCCCCCCTCGATTCCTCCTCCTAAGGGCCATCCCGCCCTCCTTCCCCCTCGCTTCCTCCTCCTAAGGGCCATCCCGCCCTCCTTCCCCCTCGCTTCCTCCTCCTAAGGGCCATCCCGCCCTCCTTCCCCCTCGCTTCCTCCTCCTAAAGGGCCATCCCGCCCTCCTCCCCCCTCGTTTCCTCCTCCTTAAAGGCCATCCCGCCCTCCTTCCCCTCGTTTTCTCCTCCTAAGGGCCATCCGCCGCCCTCTCGCTGCCGCCGTCCCCCTTCCGCCGCTGCAGCCCTCCCGCTGCCGCCGCCGTTCCCCTTCGCAGCCGCAGCTCCCCCGCTGCCGCCGTCGTCCCCCTTCGTCGTCGCAGCCCTCCCGCTGCCGCCGCCGTTCCCCTTCGTCGTCGCAGCCCTCCCGCTGCCGCCGCCTTCTCCCTTCGCCACTACCCCTTCGGCTGGCCACCGTCAGCAGGTCCCCCCCCTCCTCTCCCCCCCGGCTCGCAGATGGACTTCACGCCGCAAGCCCCTTTCCTTCAGCTTCTCTGCCTGGCATCGCGTTCATGCTTCAGGGGTTGCCCCGTCTCTCATTCAAGCCTCCTAGCCCTATGCAGGCTGAGGGGTTGTGTTAGAAAACCTCTATTCTATTCATCCTGCATATGCTAGTTCGCTTGTCTAGAGTTAAGCACCCAAACTTAGTTTGGGTGTACAAACAGGAGTAACCCAGTTTGTAGGTTGGAACCCAACCTTGGTCCAATTATTGGACCCCAAAGGTTGGGTTGGGTAGAATTATTGGTCCCCTCCAATAATGTTGGCCCAACTCCAACTTGGCCAACATTATTGGACCCCACCAATAATCTCCCAACCCAACTTCTTGGTTGGGGTCCAATAATGCTCACCTAGGCTAGTATCCAACCCACTTCCTATGTATACCCCCATCCTCCTCAATCAATCATCAACTTCTTTCAGTTCTCAAGTCATCCTTCACAGAATTCTAACACATCCGTCATCCCTCTCCCTTGGCCCCTCCCCCCACTCCCCTGTGCACGCACCGGAGGAGCAGGAGAGGGCGGTCTGTGAGGCAAGCAGGCGGTGCAGCTGGGGCAGGGGGGTGGTGGGCAGGCGCAGGCACGTGAAGGCCGCTAGGTGGGGGAACTTGCTGCACACCTGCATGGGGGAGGGGGAAGGGAGAAGGGAGGGTAAGTGGAGGAGGGAGAAGGTGAGGGAGGGGTTCGAGGGGCAGGCGCAGGCAGGTGACGGCCGCTAGGTGGGGGAGCTTGCTGCGCACCTGCATGGGAAAGGGGGGAGGGAAGCGCGGGATGGGGAGGAAGTGAGAGGGTGAGGTTTGGTTCCGGAGGGCCAAAAGGGAGGGAGGGCTTACAGAGTGACAGCGTGGGGAGGGAGTAGAGGGCGGGCGCAGAGAGGTGCAGGAGGAGAGATGGGGAAACTTGATGACTTGGGAGAGGGGAGAGGAGGGGAGTGGCAGGCTGGGCAGACAGGCATAAGATGCGAGATGGGGGAACTTGATGCGCGCCTGCATGGGGAGAGGGGCGGAGCGGACATAGGAAGGCTTCTCACGGACTCACGGCACCATGCCATGCCTGACTGTATCACGGCATGCTTGACTGCATCACGGCATGCTTGACTGCATCACGGCATGCTTGACTGCATCACGGCATGCTTGACTGCATCACGGCATGCTTGACTGCATCACGGCATGCTTGACTGCATCACGGCATACTTGACTGCATCACGGCATGCTTGACTGCATCACGGCATGCTTGACTGCATCACGGCATGCTTGACTGCATCACGGCATGCTTGACTGCATCACGGCATGCTTGACTGCATCACGGCATGCTTGACTGCATCACGGCATGCTTGACTGCATCACGGCATGCTTGACTGCATCACGGCATGCTTGACTGCATCACGGCATGCTTGACTGCATCACGGCATGCTTGACTGCATCACGGCATGCTTGACTGCATCACGGCATGCTTGACTGCATCACGGCATGCTTGACTGCATCACGGCATGCCCCATTGCACCATGCCGTGCACCATCACACCAGGTAGTGGAGTGGAGTGGAGTGGAGTGGAGTGGAGTGGAGTGGAGTGGAGTGGAGTGGAGTGCAGGTGTGTGGGGCTTACAGCAGATGAGAGGCCAGCAGGGTCGAGCGTGAGGGGAATGACAGCGTCCGCCCCTGATGTGCCACGAGGATGGCACGCAGGGAGGGTGTGGAAGGGATTGAGGTGGGGTTAGTGGTAGAGGCAGAGGCGATGACTGTAGAAAGCGTTGACACATGGTGGCAGGTTAATACAAAGGATAGGGGTGGCTAGGTGGGGACAGCAAGAGGATGGGCAGGCTAGAGAGTGGCATGCAGCAAGGCACACAGAAGGAAGGGGTTGGCATGGGGATGCATGGATGGCATGTACAGTGCAACAGCGTATCAAGGAGAGCAGTAGAGCAGCAGAGAAGGCAGCAGAGAAGGCAGCAGAGCAGAGAAGGCAGCAGAGAAGGCAGCAGAGAAGGCAGAGAGAGGCAGCAGAGAAGGCAGCAGAGAAGGCAGCAGAGAAGGCAGCAGAGAAGGCAGCAGAGAAGGCAGCAGAGAAGGCAGCAGAGAAGGCAGCAGAGAAGGCAGCAGAGAAGGCAGCAGAGAAGGCAGCAGAGAAGGCAGCAGAGAAGGCAGCAGAGAAGGCAGCAGAGAAGGCAGCAGAGAAGGCAGCAGAGAAGGCAGCAGAGAAGGCAGCAGAGAAGGCAGCAGAGAAGGCAGCAGAGAAGGCAGCAGAGAAGGCAGCAGAGAAGGCAGCAGAGAAGGCAGCAGAGAAGGCAGCAGAGAAGGCAGCAGAGAAGGCAGCAGAGAAGGCAGCAGAGAAGGCAGCAGAGAAGGCAGCAGAGAAGGCAGCAGAGAAGGCAGCAGAGAAGGCAGCAGAGAAGGCAGCAGAGAAGGCAGCAGAGAAGGCAGCAGAGAAGGCAGCAGAGAAGGCAGCAGAGAAGGCAGCAGAGAAGGCAGCAGAGAAGGCAGCAGAGAAGGCAGCAGAGAAGGCAGCAGAGAAGGCAGCAGAGAAGGCAGCAGAGAAGGCAGCAGAGAAGGCAGCAGAGAAGGCAGCAGAGAAGGCAGCAGAGAAGGCAGCAGAGAAGGCAGCAGCGAAGGCAGCAACGAAGGCAGCAACGAAGGCAGCAACGAAGGCAGCAACGAAGGCAGCAACGAAGGCAGCAACGAAGGCAGCAACGAAGGCAGCAACGAAGGCAGCAACGAAGGCAGCAACGAAGGCAGCAGCAACGAAGGCAGCAACGAAGGCAGCAGCGAAGGCAGCAACGAAGGCAGCAACGAAGGCAGCAACGAAGGCAGCAACGAAGGCAGCAACGAAGGCAGCAACGAAGGCAGCAGCGAAGGCAGCAACGAAGGCAGCAACGAAGGCAGCAACGAAGGCAGCAGCGAAGGCAGCAACGAAGGCAGCAGCGAAGGCAGCAACGAAGGCAGCAACGAAGGCAGCAACGAAGGCAGCAGCGAAGGCAGGGGAGAAGGCAGCAGCGAAGGCAGCAGAAGGCAGCAGCGAAGGCAGCAACGAAGGCAGCAAAGGCAGCAACGAAGGCAGCAACGCAGCAACGAAGGCAGCAACGAAGGCAGCAAGGCAGAAGGCAGGAGGCAGCAGCAGCGAAGGCAGGAGGCAGGAGCGAAGGCAGGAGCGAAGGCAGGAGCGAAGGCAGGAGCGAAGGCAGGCAGGGCACCTTGCACGCCGTCCTCACCTTGCACGCCGTCCTCACCTTGCACGCCGTCCTCACCTTGCACGCCGTCCTCACCTTGCACGCCGTCCTCACCTTGCACGCCGTCCTCACCTTGCACGCCGTCCTCACCTTGCACGCCGTCCTCACCTTGCACGCCGTCCTCACCTTGCACGCCGTCCTCTGCGAGGGAGAGTGAGGCGGATGCACTGGCATGCAGGGCGAAGAGAATCTCCTCGCCATAGTCACCGTCGCTGTAGTCCCAATCCACTGCTATCTCGTCCTCCGACACCCAGTGCGCCTTGAAGAGATCCAAGCTGCCCTGCACACACACATGTTGGTACCGCACCACACCGCACCGCACCGCACCGCACACCACACCACACAAGGCACACGCTCAACTCAGCATGGCGCACCGCACAGGGAACACAAGGCACAGAGGCACGGGCAGGGAACGTGTGGGTGAGCGTGGCACGTGTGGCAGGCAAGTGCGCAAGGCTGCTTGCTTGGTCAGACCAGCGGAGGTTAGGGCGGGAACAACAGCATGCGTGAAGCATGCAAGGACGAAGTGACACCGGGACGGCAGCGGCAGCATGAGAAGGGAAGGGGAGCAGTGTGTGCCGCACGAACCCACCCACAAACCACCTTGAGAGGCAAGGGAGAGACGATGGGAGAGACGATGGTTGGGCGGAGAGAGGCGGGTGGAGGTACCTTGGGGAGGCGGTCGAGGTTGGGGGCGTGCAGGAAGGCGCGCTGGCAGTCTGCGATGAGCCACACTGTGGAGCCGCGCTGGGTGCTGGTGGAGGGCGGTGGTGCGGGCAGTGTGGCCATGTCTATTGTCCATGTGCAGTCCTGGCTAGGGGGAGGCGGATGTGGGAGGAAGGGCGGGAGGAAAGCAAGGGAGGGAGGAATCAGGGGGAGGGGGAAAAGGAGGAAAGGAAAGCGAGGAAGGGAGGGTGGTGGTGCAGGCAGTGTGGCCATGTCAATGGTCCATGTGCAGTCCTGCAGAGGGGGGAGGCGGATGCTGGAGGAAGGGCCGCAGAGAAGGAGAAGAACAAGAGAAGGAGAGCGAGACAATAGGGAGAGAAATGGAAAAGCGAGATGAGATGCGTGCGGCAGTGAAGGGACGACGGGTTTGGGGGCACCAGGGACTGACCTTGTTATGGTATGCAGGGTAGGGTTACTGGGATGAGATGGTAACAAGCGATGCACAGCTCATAGGTGTGAGGGGAAAGGGATGTGGTGGTTGGAGTGTGTCACACGAGGCATGCAGAAGGAGAGAGAGACAGGCCATGGGCAGTGAGAGCAGCAGGTATGCGGCATGGGAGGCGAGGGACAGAGCAGAGCAGAGCAGTGCAGTGCAGTGCAGTGCGATGCAGTGCGCACCTTCCAGTCCCCTCGGTGTGGCAGCACGTTCACTGTGCGCGCATGTGGCTTCAGCTGCACCCGCCACTCCACCCACTTCATGCCGCCACCACCCGCAGCAACAACGGCACCAGTGGCGGCAGCAGGCGAGGAGGGCAAGGGGTGTTGCCAGTCAGTCTCTGCCTCCACGTCGCCCCACACGTGCAGCCCCCATCCATTGTAGTCACCGTCGCCCCTGCCAGCACACACAGCGACGCATGACATGGAAGCATGGGAGGAAGCATGCCGGGATGCACTGGTTGCCATGCGGTGCACACTGGTCCGGCGAGGACTGGTTGGTTTGCATGTCGTGGCACAGCACGGCACCACTGCCATGATATATAGCCCTGCCTCTCCATACAAGCCGTGGCACGGGACGAGGGTATGAGCCTAGATCCCCCCTGCCTCTCCATACGAGCGACCAGGATGGCCCTCATTGCATCGCGTGTGCGTGTGTGCAGTGCAACCCCCGGAACGACCGACGGGAGCAGCGTTTTCCTGACAGCAGTGGCATGGCATGTGTGGTGGAGACAAGGCGAGTGCAGGGGATGTGCACACGGCTGGCACATGCCACGTGGCATGGTGTGTGCGTGATGCTTGCCGTGATTGGCGAGCGCTGCCATGGCAGCTGACGACACGACGCCAGGCGTGCAGGAGATTTCCCACTCGTCAAGACGGGGCAATTTGTCCCCGCTCATTTCCCCCTTACTTTCCAACCTTTTGTCCCGTTCCTCCCCCCCCCCCCCCACCCCCCCTCTTCCCCCTCCCCCCTTTCCCGCCATCTCCTCCCCGCTCCCCCCTTCCGCACCTATGATACACGACGCGCAGCATGTTCCCGCCCGCTGCTTGCCCCTCAGCTGCTCCTGCCTCCAACCCGCCGCCCTCTATTTCTGCCCCATTCCCGTTCCCCGCGGAACAGCGCGGAGTAAGCAGGGATGAGCGCCGGCTGGCAGAGGCGGAGCGCGGACTAAGCAATGCGCGGGTGCGCGGAAGGCCGGCGGTGGCGCACGCGGGGAGCATCGAGCGCGGCTGCGCCTCTCGACGCTGCGTTCCGCTGGAGCGGCGCGCGGCGACGGCGGTCGCGGCGGCGGAGGGGACGAGGGGGCGAGAGCACAGCGCGAAGGCCATGACGAGTCACGACCCACGAGAGAGTTGCTGGGCGATCGCAGTACAGGCCCCGATGAGAATCTGAGGCTTCTGTTCTATAGGAGAGCAGTGCTCCCTACCGAATCAATTGACTCTGAAGCAGAATGGTGGAAATTGAGCGCTAGGGGCGTGTTCAGGTAAACCGGTACATTGGTGGTGTTCTCTAGGCACTAGCGGAGGGGGAGCGAGGGGAAATAGGAATCTTCCCCTCTCTGCGTTTTTGGTTCGACACGTCGGTCAGCCCGTAAAACCGTGCTGAGCCACCTATTTACCCTCCGAACCAAAACGAAGGTAAATGCCAAGAGAACGCTCATTTACCCTCAGGGATGTGCACCCCTTGGAAGCTGCACATTTACCCTCCCCACCTTCCTCCTCAGTGACTCCTCAGGCAAATTTTGCCTCCCTCGCCCCCCCTTTCGGCAACCACTCTTCACGTGGGTGGTGTTCTCTAGGCACTGGCGAGGGGGGAGCGAGGGGAAATAGGAATCGTCTCCCCTCTGCGTTTTTTGGTTCGACACGACGGTCAGCCCGGGAAACCGTGCCGAGCCTCCTATTTGCCCTCCGAACCAAACCGAAGGTAAATGGCAATAGAACGCTCATTCACCCTCAGGGATGTGCACCCTTTGGAAGGTTCCCATTTACCCTCCCCACCTTCCTCATCGGGCAAATTTTGCCTCCCTCGCCCCCCATTCCGACAACCACTCCTCACGAGGATGTGGGATAGGCATGTGAGGGAGGTGCTGGGGAGGGGAAACCGACATTCCACCCGTGAAACTAACGACTGCTTCAGGGATTCTCCCTCCCACACGCACAGGACTCGGAAAAAAAAAAACCACGTCCCCTTCTTAGAGCAAACCCTAGTCAGTTTGTACCCTAGAGGTTGGATTGTTGAAGGTGACTTCTGTTTTCCGACAAGAAGTAACCCTGGTTTTGTTTGTACCCTGTCTTGCTTGTTAGCGCGAAATGAACTACCCCCGTTTCTAGACCAGGAAAATGTCCCCACATGTTCGTCATTTACCGTCGGATCATTCCCCCCCTGGCGCCCGAAATTTCCCGTCTACGGCTGTAGCGGGAGTTTGTCAAAACCGGCTTGGAAACATCCGCGGAATCATCGTCATTTACATTCGCCCCTCCACCTCCCCCTCTAGCGGGAGTCACCAGAACACCGCCGTGGATTTGGGACAGATGTAAGAGATGAGCCACCCATCGGAGCCTTCCCCCCCTCATGCCCGAAATTTCCTACCTTCGGTTGTAGCGGGAGGTGGTGAAATCGGGCCAGGAAACACCCTCGGAACGATCATCATTTACATTCGCCCCCCCACCTCCCCCCTCCGCAGGAGTCACCAGAACACCACCATTGATTGCCCGTGGAGTTCGGATTCAAATGGTACAAACACTTCGCAGTTTATTCGCTCCAGCACAGCCTCGGCCTCCGTGACACGGAAGAAATTTTGGGGGAAACGAGGTTGACAGCAGTAGGCGGTTTTGCCGCGTAGCCGTCAATCCAATGGGGCAAAGCTCGCGGCTGAAATCTGGTGGAAACATCAAATGTTCTTGTTACATTCATGGGCGGAGAAACCAGGGTCAATGGTGCGTCGCGGGCAATTCTTGCACCACCGCTTTTGACATCGTAGGTTGAGAAGTGCAGCAAAAGTTTGTTGCGAATTTCCGTAAAACGGGGAATTTCCAGCCCCACCTACCTCTCAGCCTTATCTGTTCCCCAGACGGCTCACCGCGTTCGAGAAGCCTGGATGGGTCCTAGTCCAATTCAAACCTCTCCATCCTCTTCCCCCCACACACCTCATAATGGCTGCGTTCTGCAGGCACGACAGAGGGGGGGGAGGCGGTAAATAGGAACCTTCCCCCAACTGCGTTTTTTGGATCAAACGCCCGGTCAGCCCGGAAAATGGATCCGAGCCTCCATTTACCCTCCGAAGGTAAATGGCAACAGAACAGCCATTTACCCTCGAGGGTATGAGGGCGTAGGAAGCTGCCTATTTCCCCACCCCAGCTTCCTTCTCTGGCAAAATTTGCCCCCTTCTTCCCCCCTTTCGAAAACTGCTCTTGCCCTGGTTGTGGGACGGAGGGGGGAGGGAGGCGTTGGGTTAGGGAACACCACGGTTGTGTTAGAGGGCCCTACGACAGCAAGGGCCCTCGCGAAATGTTAGACTTGGCAGGTTGACGACCGACGACCTGGTCTACTCGGCACCGTCGCACAGGTTCGATGGCAGTCAAGTGTGACTACGGGTGAATGCGAGCTGCAGTAAGGAATCTGCTGAAGTCGGTGCTGGGAAGTAGAGTCGTGGGAGTCTTTGTGTGCTTCCTTATGAGGCACGCCACTCCCAAGCTGAGTCGGATGGAGTTGCGTGCTCGGAAGGTTTTCGCTGCTGAGTTGGATGGAAGTTTGGCGGGGCGCGTTCGCCAACTCCCACAGCACTTTCGTGTGGGTTGGGTTACTCGCAGCGCCCTCGCTACCTTTTGTGAACGCTTGCTTGCCTTTATATGTTTGTGTTTGCTTGTGTGTTTCATATATTCTATTTTCCTAGTGAAGTCCAATCTCTACTCAAATTCTCACTTAGTCATTTGAGACCAACGCTACCCAAACGCTACCGAATTCCTAGCGCAACATCATTCCCATAAGCAGAATCTCTCTCGCCGTCGTAGTGCTCTCCATAATATTCCTTCATGGTGCGGTGAGCGTGGAACGAACACGCATAGAATTCCGTCGTCGACTTTCTTAGCGTTCGTAAACTCGCCTTGGCGTGCGGCGTTAGTGAAGGGCGCATATTAAATTAAGTTGAACCTCTCTTAATTTCCCTCCAGTTACGTTCTCGGACCCAAGGATAGGGCGTTTGGTAATTTATTACCACTCGTCTGAGGACCCTTGTGAGGTGACCCCGAGACGAGGGATTTAAGGAAGGAACAATTTATTTTAATTTGTGGCACCTTATCGAGGCGTCGTAGAGGATGAGTTCGGAGGAGGCGGACGTTGAGGCCGTTAATTTTCGCGCACTAGAGGAGGAGCTCGTGGCACGTCGTTCCCGTGGCGAGCTTAGTAATGTAGATTACGAGCTCATGTTGGAGGGATTACGCTCTCGTCAGCGTCGCGATCATCCCTCGCCACATGTAGAGCAAGCTGCGGGAGGCACTAGTGCGTGGGACATGGCTGTCAATGACGGAGGTGACGATGACGAGGAGGTTGATGGGTTGATGTCGCGTGGGGTCCTGCGAGGACCAACTCGGTTTAGTACGACTAGCGTCGGCGGTGTACAGGAGCGTGTTCATCGTGCGGCGGCGTCACACGAGCGTACGAACTTAGGACGACAGAGCGCTGCTGGAGGAGGGAATGCGGAGGAGTACGATAGTGGAGCTATGCCGGGCATTACCCCGATTGGATCGATGTCGAGGGATGAGGGAATAGCCCCCAACTATGGCTACTTCAAATTCACTCCAGACAGAATCGTCGTGCCTAAGCCGCTCGAAGGACGCCACGACCTATCGACGTGGGTAGAATCGATCGAGCCGCAGCTTGAGATCGCTCAACTAAAGCGATTCATTGACGGTACCACTCCTATTCCACCAACGCAGGCAGTTGCGCATCTCACTCAGTTCCGCGCAATGCAGTTACTGACGTTCACCACGATTTCCCGATGCTGCTCCCCAACCGTACAGATTGCCCTTAAGGGGTGTCGCATGAAGGTAGATGCCGGCTATCAGGCATGGCAGTTTATTATGCGCACGTACATGGCGAAGGACGATCTGTACATCGGTCAGTTAGAGCAGGCGCTCACTAACCTCGAGATGGGTGAGCACGAGTCCGCTACGTCCTATTGCAACCGTGCGCAGCAGATCCTAGTGAACCTGAGGATGGCCGGCGTCGATTACTCGCAGGCGTCGTACATTACTCACGTCGTGAAGGGGTTGCCGCAGCAGTACAACCTCTTACGCAGGATGCTGAAGCTGCCGCAGGTACGCAAGGAGTTGGACGAGGACACCCTCGCTAGCTACATTATCGAGGAGGAGTGTACGCTGGCAGCGGAGGGACGGAAGGACCAATTTCTTCCCCAGGCCAACCAGGTCTTTACCAAGAAGGGTAAGCCCCAATCCCAGCAGACTTCATCCCCTTCCCCTCCCACTACGGCACAGCAGCAGCAGCCTAAGACTGGGGGTGGGGTTGGAGGTGGAGGAGAGAAGTGGAAAGGGGCTAAGGATGGTCCGCCAAAGGGGGGGAAAGGTGGCTTCAAGGGGAAGTGCTACGTGTGTGGACAGACAGGGCATGTTGCTAAGTACTGTCAGCAGCGGGCGGATAAGGAGGCAGACACGGGTGGAGAGGGTTCTGGAGGCAGCGGCGCGAGTGGCAAGGGGGACGATGGCTCTAAGGGGAGCAGGCAGTCATCATGTGCGATGGTGAAGCCCGTTGTAGAGCAGACTCCTCTTGTCGTGCTGGAGCCTGAGGCCGGGGAGGGCTTACAGGCTCTTGCAGCTGCTGTGAAGGCGAACCCGAGCGTCGTGCTACTTGATAGTGGATGCTCCCACCATCTCATGGGAGATCGTTCTGCCTTTGTGGAGATGAGCAGCGGCGGTAGTATCAAACAAGTGAAAGGCTTCAACGGCGCGCTTCAGGACGTGCAGGGGCGAGGCACAGTCGCTCTTCTTGGAGAAGGGGGCAGGCGTCTCTTGGTGTCTGACGTGCTGTACGTACCTGGAGTGCAGGCGAGTCTTCTTTCTGCTGGGCAGCTGCGTGATAGTGGTGTGCAACTGCTGGATGCAGGCGACGTGACTCTGCTGCGGGCACCAGATGGGTCACTTCTTGGGCGTGCAGAGTACAAGGGGCGTGTTCTCTGCACGAACTTCCAACCGTGTTTGTCGCAGCA